ATAATGCTGACTCACGGACATTAAGCCGCCGATGATAGGTGGGAGAAGTTGTTACAGAAGCCAGCACCACCCAGTGCGCGTGCACCCATATCGCGGCGTTAGTCTCATCCTCCTGTCCGCGCTCGGCGACCGCGCCGGCGTCCCACTAGCACGCATCGCGCTCCTCGGCCACCATGGCCGTGCTGGAGATCCTGGCCGCCGCGGCGGCCCTCACCCTCCTGCTCTACTACTACATGACGAGCACGGCCGACTTCTTCGCCAAGCGGGACATCCCGCACCTGCCGCAGACGCCCCTCGTCGGCAGCTCGCTCGACGCCCTCCTGTCCAGGAGGTTCCGCGGCCAGGTGTGGCGCGAGTGGTACGACCACGCCAAGGCCCACGGTCACAAGTTTTACGGGGTGTTCGTCGGGCGGCGGCCCACGCTCTTCGTCTGCGACGTGGACATGGTCAAGACCATCCTGGTCAAGGACTTCCAGCACGTCATGGATCGCGGGACGTACTACGACCGCAAGCGCGAACCCCTCAGCGCCAACCTCTTCAACATCGGGGTGCGTAAGTTATTGTCAACTTTGCTGGACGATCGACGAGGAACTGCTCAACTCACTGTTTTTTTTTTTCGCTGCGCAGGGTGGGGAATGGAAGGCACTTCGCAGCAAGCTGACGCCCACGTTCACCTCCGGCAAGATGAAGTCCATGTTCTACTTGGTGCGGGCGTGCACGGACGAGCTCGAGCGCTACCTGGGCGCCGAGGTGCTCAAGGGCGGCGATGTCGAGATGGCCGAGGTCATGGGTAAGTTCTCCACGGACGTGATCGCGTCCTGCGCCTTCGGCGTCGAGGCCAACGCCCTGAAGGACCCCGACTCGGAGTTCCGGAGCATGGGCAGGAAGGTGGTCGAGGTCGACCCACTCCGCGCCATCGTCAATGTAAGAGGCATTCCCGCGACTAGTGAACTGCGTCAGAGAGACAACTTGTACCCACAGATCGCACTGATTTGACACACAGATGGTCGCGGAGACGATGCCCTGGCTGCGCCCGCTCCTCCCCATGCCTCTGCTCAGACCCGACGTCAAGGACTTCTTCATACGCACGTTCAACGAGAACGTCGAGTACCGTGAGCGGCAGAAGGTGGCGCGGCACGACTTCATCGACCTGCTGATCCAGCTCAAGAACGACAAGACGGCCGGCCTCGAGGACGCCGTCCTGCCCGCGCAGGCCTTCGTCTTCTACCTGGCGGGCTTCGAGACGTCCTCCGCCGCGACCAGCACCTGCCTCGTGGAGCTGGCCCACCACCCGGACATCCAGGAGCGGCTGCGGGACGAGGTGGATCGCGTGCTGGCCAAGCACGGCGGCATCACGTACGAGGCCCTGCACGATATGACGTACATGGAGCAGTGCATCGAGGGTGAGTGAGTTCACGTCCAACGTCATTGTTCTTGACGGTCCTTGAATTGGACCAGCAGAGGTCGATGACGTCGTGACGATGCGTCGTCGGTTGGCTGAGGCTGAGATGATATAGCGCGGGACTTCCCTCTAGGAGGTCCTTGTGCATCGCCAATGCGATGCGGCCGATTGGAAAGGGAGTGGTACCTATACGCTCAGGTAGTTTGTAGCACAAATCGTTACCTTTCACTGTTTGGTTGAGGTTCGGAACGGAGTTGGCACAGGGAACGCCCCTCCCCCTCCCTTCCTTCCCGTTCCTGGATTCACATGCTGTGTTGGTGAGCTGAGCTGGAACGATTTTACGACAGTGATTTCAGGCTTGGCCTATCATTTCCGAAAATATGCTAGCAAAAGTAAGAAAGGACCCCCCCCCCCCCTTTTGTCCAGTCTCTCACCACAACCGGTATGTGGCGCTTCTGCTTCCACCTTCAACTCGTCCTCCAATAACTCGAACTTTGTGAGCCATTTCAAGCTCTATAATACCTCTATATTCTCGCAGAGACCATGCGGCTGTACCCGGCGCTGGCCGGGCTGCCGCGCGTGGTGACGCGCGACTACCAGCTGCCCGGCGAGAGCCCCAGGGCGGTGCTGCCGGCCGGCACGCGCGTCATCATCCCCACGTACGCCATCCACTGCGACCCCGAGTTCTACCCCGACCCGATGCGCTTCGACCCGGAGCGCTTCACCGAGGAGAACAAGCGGAGCCGCCCGCACTATGCCTACCTGCCGTTCGGCGAAGGTCCGAGGATATGCATCGGTGAGTGTCATCGACAAGGTGCTTTCATAAAAACCCACAATTTTTTTTTAGGGAAAATTTCCCAAGAATTTCCTTTTTAGCAGATGATACCTTAAAAACCTTTTGACTAAACATAAAGAATATATAAGTATCTTTTTAAAATTGATTGAAATTTCCCCTTAAATGTTTAATTTTTTCCAGTTTTTCATTTGTTCCTCATTATTGGGGGAGGGGCGGAGGCAGTTTCTATTTTTCCGGAAAAATTGGACTTTAAAGTCCCTATTGTCGACTGACTAACTGAAAAAGTGCAGTAACACACACGGTCTAACTCTCGGTTTGCTCTTTGCCTTTTTTTATAGGCCTCCGCTTCGCCATGATGCAGATGAAGACGTCTCTCGCAATGATCCTCAGTTCGTACCGAGTCTTCCCGAGCCCGAAGTCGGTGTACCCCGCGCGGTTCGAGCCAAAGACTTTCGTCACTAAACTGAAGGGCGGAAACCGTCTCAAGATTACCAAGCGGTAAAACGCCGCCAGCATGAAGTCTGCCATGACAGAAGTAGCACAAGACACTCGGCAGCTATTCGCTCGACCGGCTTGACATTTAATTTAAGCAGGCGATTAATTCGTCAATTGTATACATCTTTGTTATTATAATAACCTAATGTGGTGTTGAATTACGTGATGTGCTGTTGTCGTTCAAGGTGACCTTGTGGAAACCTTGGGCGTCTCTTGCCCGGAAGACTCCCCCACCCCCCACCCTCCGCCTCCCGGGGGCCGTCCGGGGGCCGCCCTCCCGACGCAGCTGCTTGGCGGGTTGGCCTACCCAGCGCGTAGCAGGCGCCACCATCGGCGTCGCGTTTGCCTCGAAAAACTTTCGTGAAAGGGAGAGAGACACCTCTTTAATGGTCAAGGATTGGGTAGCTCTCCGAGATTGCCGTTGAAGTAATGCCGAAACGACATGGTTTTATGACGCCACATTGATCGTTTTCACATCGTTTTCGATATCAATAAGCGTACATTGGTGTACTGTATAACTTGTCAGGAGGGAGAGGCACGGATGAACATCTACACGATCTACACCCCCCCTCCGCAACCAGGTACTCATTCCCTTTCGATTTTGGCATTCTCATGGTTTTCTGGTGGCGATATCGGGAGAACGGAATTTAATCATCCTTTCCTCCAACAGTGCGGGTTTTAGAATCAAGGGCTCTTCCTCATCATAACTCCATGAATTAGCGTAAACACAAACAGAACTTTCGGTCCGGAGGGTCCGGAGGCCAAAGACCAACCTAAGTGTCGCTCTGGCGCGACCAGTTGAACGTCCCGCCCATGAGGGGAGGGGGGGGGGGGGGGAGGGAAGGACGGGGGATCAGGGGCGGGGGAAATGTGAGGCACAACATCCACAAAGAAACAGACATCTCGTGATTAGACGTGATTCATGTTAAATGTTGACAACCGCTGTCAGCACGAGTGGGACACTGAACGCACCGGGCCAGGTCCGCGGCCGCCCCGTCCGGGACTGCAAACTGGTGCACTGCACGCTCCCGCATATGAAGGCGACGGTGTTGACGTGAGAGTGAGAAGGGAGGCGACACTCGCGCTGACGGCGACCTGGTCCGCTCGGTTCCGCTCCCCCTGAACGCCACCGAGGGGCATGGATTTTGAGAGCCCCGACGTCGAAAGGGAATTTCCTGGCCTATACATGTCGGAATCGGGGTCGGGAAAGAGGAGTCAGGAGAGTGATTGTAAGTAGTGAGGTTAGGTGCCACTATTATCCTCTGTTTTGACAGTTCCCCCACACAACTTCCCTGTATGTCCTTTTAAACGCCGCTGTCTTCTCTTCTCTTTGTTTCCTGGCGCAGTCAGTGATGATGCACATGAAAGGTCGACGAAGAAGGACCTCCTGATTGGCAAACGTAAAGACAAGAAAGAGTCGAAGAAAGACCTGGGATATGCTGCGTTGGAGGGAGAGAGTTCACCCGAAGAGGATCTGGATATTAAGTCAGTCGACAGTTCTTCCATTATGAATTTAGACCTAAAGTTTGCTTGCACTTTGAAGTAATACATATATTTTCTCTCTCTCAAGGAGTCCATGCAAATCAAAGAAGTCTAAGTCCTTCAAGTTTCCAACTATCAAAGATAAACGAGAGAAATCTAGAGAGAAAGATGTCAAAGAAAAAGAGAAAGACAAGGATAAAGAAAAAGAAAAAGAACGAGAACCAGATCGGGAAAAATCAGAGAAGAAAAAGGAATTTAAATCTAAGCTAAAGCTAAAGGACAAGAAGAAAATCAAACCTGGAGATGATACCTCAGACTCAGTTGGTTAGTCAAATTGATAACCAAAGTTGCCTCTTTGTATAACTAAAAATAGAAGAAACCTAACCATATGTTGAATTGCAGATGAAATGCCTGTATTTGGAGTGCCACTATCAGTTGCCGTTGATCGGAGTCATTGCCATGATGGTGTAGCAATTCCAATTGTGGTTCGAGACTGTATTGACCATGTTCAAGAATTTGGTACATTACATTTTACATATATTATTTTTTCTTTAAATTGAAAACCTGTTTTTCTTCAATTGAAATTAAATCATCTGTTCTAAATTCACATATTGCTACAACTGTTGAACATTAAGTGTGGTATTACTTAACTAATCATTTTTATTATCTTTAGGCTTACTGACAGAGAATATTTACAAAGTTTTGGGAGTTAAGTCAAAAGTGCAGCAGCTACGTCGCAGCTACAATAAGCGGGAGGCTGTGAAGCTTAGTGACTATGACCTTCAAACAGTTACGAGCCTATTGAAAACTTTTCTAAGGTGAATATTACTTGGGTGACCAAACATTTTTACTACAGCAGTATGTAAAGTATTCAAGATTTTGCTAGTTAATTAGTTTAGGTTCAGTTTGTACATACTTAATAATAATGATATTTTGTCCTTGTACCCTTATTACTTTTGAAAAGATTTATAGAAATTTTTCGTGTTTTTCATTTTCATTTATATAATTATTATTTTTATTAGGGAACTGCCAGACCCTCTACTGACAAATGAACTTGCATCAAAATTTGAGGATGTAGCATGCTTAAAGGAGCTTGCAGCCCGTGAACAAGAACTGGGCTCTCTTCTACCACAGATACCACCCTGCAATATGCTATGTCTTTCATGGCTCATGCAACATTTTCAAAACGTTGCTGCCAATGTGAGTGTTGTAACATTTATCACTATATTTGTTGTTTTGAGAATTTTTTTATCTTATTGAGCTGTATCTTACCCTCTTATGCCAGGAGAGTCACAACAAGATGAGCATTAGTGCTCTGGGAGCTGTGTTGGGCCCTGTACTTCAAACAAGCCCAAAGGTTTTTGCTGCCCTGCTGACGCATAGTGGTGCACTGTTTCCACACATCCAGTTAGTGAAGTAAGTAATCGTCTTTCTTTAGTAATATACTCCTAAAACTGTGATCAAGAAAGTATTTTTGGACTACCAAATTATTGATGCTCATGCTGTTTTTGAATGCAGATACATACCACCACTAAGTGCTGGGTGTACCTCTTTACCCAATTCCAAAGAAGCAATTGTTGCTGAACTAGCTAAGCAAGATTCGTTACTGAATCAAATCCATTCAGAAATGAACCATGGATACACCGTCCGATCTGATCAGTTGTGGGAGGTGCAGCGATTCATTACACTTTTAAAAGTGAGTGGATTGTAAACAATTAGTTTTAGACCAACTTGCCGTTACTTCAAGCCATTTTTCATCTATTGTTTCCTCGATGTTCAATATTATGAACCTTTTAATTTTTTCTTTTTTGTAATCTAGCGCAAGCTGCGGACCTTGGAGAAAGCTCAAGAAGCTTCTCACCGAGGCACAGACAAAGTTCAAGCTCAAGTTGAGCCACCAGCAGCTGTGACACAGGCCTCCTCCTCTTCAGTCAAAGCGATGCCTGTAAGCCCCTCAGGAGAGAAGATAGATTTTCAGATGCAGGTCTGTTACTTCAAATTCATCTAGTTGATTATGCATGCATATTGGTCCGCATCTTTATTTGTTGTATACACATTTTCTGTATTGATTTGTGATCTTATGTATTGGCAGACTGCAACTGAGGAGACTTTAAAAGGTGTTACAACAAGTGAAGCAGAGGACAGAATTGTGAAGGACAGTAGTTCTGAAGTACTACGAGATGAAGTGGACTCTAATGCTCTTAATGAGACCTCCACTCATGAGACTACGCCTGTGTCTGCCTCTGTGCCTGTGACTATACCAGTATTACCTGTACCAACACCGACAACAAACAATTCTGTTTTGCCATTGGACCAGTCAGATGCATCTAATTCAGGTTAGTTTTTAATTGCCATTCACATAAAAGTATTCTTTTTATCTTTGCACTATACCAATAACATGCCCATGACATTACATGTCTCTCAACAATTTTTACAGAATCTGATGAGAAGTTAAATGAATCCCAGCTTGAGCTGGAACACAATGAATTGTTGAAACTGCAAAATTACCTTCTTTCAAGAATATCCCATGTGCATGAAGAAATACAGCTTTTACGAGCAGAACTAAAATCCACTCTTAATATTGTGCCTGAATCTGCTCTGCTATCAATTTCAACTCCAAGCAGGTTTGTTGACCACTTTTTTGATCTAGAAAATTACTTAAATACTCTTGCTTTTCTTTTTACCATGCCATCTTATCTATTTCTCTGATTCCATACAGTGATTCTAAGCTATCTCCAGATATGAAGGACAATCCGACAGATGAATCGACAAATCAAAGTGGGACATGGACCAAAGAAAGAAAAGACTTGTATGAACAGAACACTCAATTAATGGAGGAGAGATTAAAACTTGTGAGGCAGATAATTTATGAACAAGAAGCGTGTCTAAACTTGAGAGTTCAGCTGGAACAGTTAAAGCAAGTAGTTGAATCAAAATAGTACATAGTTGTTCTCTGCTTTGCTGGCAAAGCTAGTCATACTGTATTTATTGTAGGTTGTATTAACAAGCCTATTTTATTTTTGAGAATGGAAATCATGACAAAGTTTAACTTCAATTTTTTCTTCTCATTTTGCTGGCCTCAATTACTTGTGTGCAAGATATCTGTACTCTGTACTGAAGGTGCTTAAAGATATTAGTGCCATTGTACTTTACTTTTGAGTAAGAACTGAAAAGAAATAAAAATCTACTTATTTGATGGCGCCTGTGATACTGCATCAGATAAAATACTTAGTGATGAGGTTTACTTTCTCATAATGTCATGGAAAATTAAGCTGAGACAGTATTTGAAATATGGCTGCTTGTACTTACAGCAAACTATGTACTTTACAGTCTTTGTTTGATGTATGTTGTGTGGTATGGTACTTCTAGGCTTTTTCTTATTGTGAAGACGCTTAGTCTTGATTAGATAAGATATGTACAGCAATTATTTTATTTTATGACCTTTGTTAATGCATGGGTATACAGGCCTATGCATCCATAAAAATTTATCTCTAATCAGAGTTTTATCTTTTTTTTATTAAACTGTACCTTTAAGTCATATCATGAAGACTGGAGCTAATTCACATAAAGTTGTTCTAAAAATCACATATGACCACTATCAGGGATGGGGTACAAAATTCTGCACCACACATTTCCATTCCATCAAAACAAGTTTATTGACTAGATATTACGCTTAATCAACTTACAAACACAAGTTTGAAAATTGGTGAATAATCATTCTAAAATTCATGGCTTTCATGTAGGTACCACAAGTTACCACAAGTTCAAGCAATGACAATGTATCTTTGAAACATAAAAAAAGCATAAACTAGCCATTCATACACTGGGAAAATTACCGTTGCTTGACACAACATAAAAAATAAAATTTCTCAAAAGGAACCCAAAAAATTCTAACAGATGAGTATAACAGTAAATATCATTAACAATTGTTCTTTTGCAAGAAAATAAAATCTAAAAATATTCAATCCAGCAAACCCAACCCACTAACTATTGTCTTGTGACCTCCTGGCTTGTTTTTTGCAAGGTACTTTCAGAACATTCCCAACTTTGGCAGTGACGAGTACCCAAAGGTAAAACAACTTGAAAAATGAGAGGATTACATTAGGAGCACTCCTGTAATCAAATTATGTACTCTCGACATTTACTCAGGAAGTGTACTTCTCAAACCACAATATAAATAGAAATTCTATGAACATCTGGCTGTATACTTTGTACTTAAGTAGCCTCATCAAGAATTTGAACAATAAGTGGACTAAGGTAATCTGTGAACTATTCAGAACAGTCCACATGCATTAAATCCAGTTGGAAGATGGCTAAACCCACCAATGCAAAGAGCAGTAATTTATCTTTGCCCAGCAGCTGGAGTCAAAAGTTACAAGCCCAATGCCTGTCGTTCTTCTGCGTCTTCACTTGCAGGCATGCCTCCAACAATCATCATATTGGGGTTTTCCAAATTCCTCTTAATAACCTCGAGGAAGTTTGCTACTTGCACTTCATCGACAGCCCGTCGATCATATGAAAGTGTTCCTGTCATCATGGTTCGTAGCTTGCCTTCTTCATCTATGAAATACAGAAATTTTAAATTAAATAATGGAGAAAATATTGTATCAGCTGTAGTACACTGAACCAGAACTTACCAAGTTCTGGACGACCACCACCAACAGCCAGGATAGCGACTTGTGGTGGATTAATTATAGCACTGAATTCACTTATTCCGAACATCCCTAAGTTGGAGATTCTGTAAAAAAAAGGAAAGAAAGGAGGAATTCAGAGTGGCAAACTAGCTTAAAAGAGAAACATCATTCATAAAAAAACCACAACAATACTGACGTAAATGTACCACCCATGAACTCTTGGGGTTGGAGTTTGCCTTCTTTTGCTTTGCCTGCTAGCTCTTTCATTTTCTGAGATATTTGAACAAGTCCTAGGCGATCAGCATCCTTAATGATAGGAGTTATCAGACCATTAGGTGTTGCCACAGCCACTGATATATCAACAACATTGGAAACTGAAAGCTGAGGGAAATTTAACAAAATTAAAACCAACCTCTTTGCATTTAATTTTAACACCACAGATTATTGTTTATCAAACCTTGTCATTGGAGAAAAGGGCATTGATTTCAGGGACTTGCTGAAGAGCTACAGCCACAGCCTTAATTACAAAATCATTTATAGACACATTAATATTTTCAGACTTAAGTTGCTTCCTCAATGCTATTACTTTATCAACCTGGCACTCAACAAGTCCGTATGAATGAGGAATTTGCGTCTGCAAAAATAGATAGAGTAAAAATTCTTTGACACATCAAAAGAAAATTTGCATAGTCAAGTGGTAAACTACCTTGGATTCAGTTAACCGTTTTGCAATGGTCTTCCTCATACTAGTCAATTCAATGTCTGTGAAACCTTCAGTAGGCTTCAGGCTTGCTGCTTTAGCAGAGGATTTTGCAGCCTGAGTTGCAGGCCCCGAGGGTGATTTAGCACTTGCAGGAGGAGGAACTGTAAAATCGGAATTTTTATAAGTAAATATGTCAGTAAATATTTGTGCGGACCTTCAAGAAATCTAAATGCCTCACAATACCTGGCTTTGGAGCCTTTGCTGTTAGACCTTTCTGCTTGATAACTTGGAGGACATCCCCCTTAGTGAGGAGGCCATGAGGTCCCGTACCGGGCACTTCGGTAGGACTCATTTGATAAGCTTCTAATAAGGTGCGTACTGCAGGTCCCATTTTCCTGCATTCATTTTCAGCATTAGTCAACAGTGAGTGTGAAAAGGCATGTTCCAGCCAAGAAATAATTTCAAAACAGCAATTTAAAGAAATGCACTAATTAAACACTAAGTTGCTCAAGGTGCAGTTGCACACTTAAAAGTATATACTAACAAGTCTGAGTGGGCATGGACACCGGCTGGAGTTGACGAGGCTTTGGGGCCTGCGGAGGGAGTCGGGGCTGCTGCAGCTGCAGGCGCTGCTCCACCAGAGGGAATTGCAACATCTTTCCAATCCTCTCCTTCCCCCACCATCACAGCAATTAAAGTCCCTACTTTGACATTACTATCATCAGGCATCTAGAACAATTCATAACATAACAAAAATATTTCTGTGATGCATTTGCTGCTAGATTTACCCAAAACATTAGTGAAACAATTTTACATTCAGACTTACAAGAATTTTTGCCAAAATACCCTCCTCTTCCACCTCAAATGACATGACAGCCTTGTCGGTCTGGATTTCACAAAGAACATCACCAGGAGCCACTGCGTCACCTTCTTTCTTGAGCCACTTTACAATTGTACCCTCAGTCATGGTTGGAGACAAGGAGGGCATGTTGATGGCAGTACCTGGGACTGAAACATACAATTTTTCCAGAAGTTGCATTAGTTTACATTCCAAATTCAAAGTGTTTTTTTCTGTTATTTTTCAATAAGAAATTGACCAGTACCACTTCCGCCAGCTGGTACAGAAGGTGCAGCTGGGCTGCTAGCTGCTGGAGCTGAAGGGGTAGCAGGGGCTGTCCCTCCACCTGAAGGCAGCTCTACGCTTTGCCAGTCCTCTCCCTCTGATACCATCAGCGCAATGAGAGAACCGACTTTCACGTCCTTTGAGTCATCTGGCAGCTGATAAAAAACAAATCAGCCCAACATCATCAACACTGGTCTGACAGGCATATCAAAATAAGTGGCAACTCGGAATGGTACTTACAAGAATCTTAGCAAGAATCCCTTCCTCCTCCACCTCAAAGGACATGACGGCTTTGTCGGTCTGAATTTCACACAGGACATCTCCTGGTGCGACAGCATCACCCTCCTTCTTCAACCACTTGACGATCGTGCCCTCTGTCATGGTGGGCGACAGGGAAGGCATCTTGATCTCCTGCCCTGCCACTGAAGGATACACAGGTTATGTCACAATCATATGGCAAGGGTGACAGCTTCCTCGGCATTCCCTTTAAAACTGATGAATGTGTATAGGAGTCGAATAGGGACATCTGTGAAGCCATCTAGCTCTTGTAATGTGTGGGTAGCAGAGCAAACGCATCAAGAAACGCGGCAAGTTCAAGGTGAAACTGACACTGGGCTTGTCCAACCTCTACCACTGGAGGTCAGTTCCCTTCCTACACTAGACTCTGGCACTTAGATAACAGGACACTTACCCTGAAGGATGGCGGAATGGTGAAAACATAGTTTCGGATGGTTTCTGAACAAAGGGGGTTTCGTTACAAACGATTTCAATAGTTTTTGGGAGAAACCACCGAGCCGAACTTTCGTCACAGCGGCCATGTCTGAGGAGCGAAGGCAGAAGCAGCAGAAGGCATCACGGCATATTAGATTCCTTTTGGGCCCCCCCCCCCCCCCCCCCCCAACCAACACCACTACTACCACACCACTCACTACCACTACCGCACCAGTTGACAGCAGACGACCAGAGAAATAGAGAAATGAATCATGGAGTTAAGCTAGACGCGACTCAACGACTGCGACTGGGACGAATTCAAAATCCTCCTTTGTGGACGTTTCGAACATAATTCCTTAGTAATATGGCAATACAACTCGACATTAAACTGAAGAAACACAATAAAGTTTATTGGGAGGGTGTAAGTATCAGTAATTCTAAACTTATTCTAATAACCTACACCTTTTTGTATCACTTAAAAGAATAAATGTTCTAACCAGCAAGGCATGTTTTGTTGCAGGAAAATGTCAGTGGTGTTTTAGCTATCCTTAGTCCTACTGATTTTAAACACGATGGAATAGCTCTTCTATTGGATGGAACTGTTAATCTCCAGCTAAGTGCTAAAAATGTTGGAATATTTGAAGCATTTTACAACTCTGTCAAGGTACCGTCGTAACTGAAAATAATCTTAACATAGAGTCCATTGAACCATATTGGCAGTTGGGATGTTGGGGGCAGCAGGTTCTCTTTCTACTGTTCATCAATATAGTCATTTGCGGGATTTCCGGTGTAGTATTACAGTAAAATTCACTTGAAAACCTTTGACCTGTAACTATTCACCATGTAAACATTAGCTAAACCAAGTGGTTTCCGGAGCCTTTACTTTTACTGGTCTGCCAACAATGAGCAAATGGAATCAACATTGAAGGGGTTATCCAGATTCTCAATGCCTGTTTCTTCTTTTTTTCTTCCAGCCTATTCATTTGGTCACCTCAAGCATCGATTTGGCTGTGCCAGGCAGAATTCCTGCGGGTGCAACAGACATACCCTTTGAGTTTCCCTTGAAGCCTAGGAGTGGTCGTTCCCTGTACGAAACATACCATGGCGTGTTCGTTAGTGTGCAATACCATGTGAAAGCAGAATTAAAACGCTCCTTTCTAAATAAGGATCTTTCAAAATCACAAGAGTTTATCGTGGAATACAAGGTATCTTTTTCTGTTTTATTCATAGCATGTATGGTATGTTTTGATGGCATCAATGCTAATACTAAACATTTGTATTCCAAAAAATAATCATTCAGGCCGGACTACCAGGTTTAATAACTGCGAAACCAGAACCTGTCAATTTTAAGATCAGTCCAGAATCCCTACAAAACATCAAAGACAAAGCTAAAGTGCCAAGATTCCTTGTGACAGGTCATCTTGATTCTGCTACATGTTGTCTTACAAAACCTTTGACAGGAGAGGTATGTTGGTGTCTTCAATTTCAAATTTTATAAAGACTATTCCAGAGGGAGCGTGTAGAGGTTGTAATGGAAGAACAGGATGAATGTGATTTGTTGTGCTCCTTACCTACTTCTCTGCCCTCCCACCAGAATAGTGTGTTGACAAATCTTTCCCTCGTTCCTTGAAAATAAAACATATTTTTTCTGTTAAAATCTGTTTTAGCTTGTAATTGAACGCTGTGAAGTTGCAATCAAGTCCGTGGAGTTGCAGCTAGTAAGAGTAGAAACATGTGGTTGTGCTGAGGGCTACGCACGTGATGGTGAGATATATGTTATGTGGTTTTTTTAATACCTCTAACAGATATATGTGCAGTTAAAAACATACTTTGCTTTTCAGCTACTGAAGTTCAAAACATTCAAATTGGTGAAGGCAATGTTGCATGTGGTCTCTCAATACCAATACATATGGTATTTCCAAGACTTTTCACATGTCCTACCCTTATTACCAACAATTTCAAAGTGGGTAAGTATCTCAGGATTAGGAATACTATCTATCAGAATATTTTACTTTATCTCTTCAGTGTCTAAAACTATAAAAATCTTCTTACAGAGTTTGAAGTTAACATTGTAATAGTTTTTCAAGATAACCATCTTGTTACTGAAAATTTCCCAATAAGACTTACACGGTTTTGAGCGTGTCATCTGGGCTATTTTACATCAATTTCCATTGGCAGATTACTGTGTAAGGTACATGCAAAGATAACTTGATGGATAATTGAATCAACTTTCTCATTATTGTTATAGTACATACATTTTATTGTATATA